GTTCCTCTTCCCCCAAGTTCCTCCCATTTGGCCAGACTCTCATGAATGGTTTCAGGGAGACAAGAAGGCCTGAGCAGTCTCAATTAATCGCTGAGGAACCTCTTGCTATTGTGGCCAAGTGAACTCCCCTACCTGACTCCTCCATCCTGTCCATCAGCGGGTCCCCACCTCATCAACATGCTAATTATGATGAGGACAGCTGGAAATACAGCACTGGCCTAAGGGCAGACAGGCTCTCAGCTTCACCTCGCACAGAAGGACAGAGTCAGCGAGACATAAGTCTACCTGCTGGCAGCTGCCCAGTGCCAAGTCTGGGCCACGCATGCGGGATCCCCCCATGGCGGGCAGGTGTTAGGGATCGAGTCAGTGCCCAGGGAGAGCAGGAGGGCCCTCTGCCTCTAAGGGACGTGTCCGGGTCTGAGCCAGGGGACACCACACAGGCTTCAAGGGACACCAGGCCTTCAGCAGAGGATGACTCCTTCCTAAGGCTGCTATTCCAGGAACAGAGGAAACCCATTGCCCACCACCACCAACCCCACCCCGTGCTGCGGAAGGAGCATGCATGGTGCTGCCGTCATGTGGCCTGGCGTGAAGGGGCTGGCCATTCCACAGACGCGTCGGGAGGTGCTGCGTCCTGACCTAGGAGAGTACTGGGGAGACTCTCTCGGAGGGACCGTGGGTCCTTTGGTGGGGTACTTCTTGTGCCGGGGAGTTGAAGGGGGTGGGGGACCCACAATCATATCTATCCTGGCAGAGTAAACAGAAGAGAGACACCGCAGATGCACTGTAAGCAACACGAGGGAGAGTGGCTGGGAACGGGGACACAGGGACAGCTCACACGCACGACCACACGTCCCGTTCACAGAGGAGGGGCCGCCACGCACTGGGCCTGGACTCACTGAGTCCTGGCTTCAAGCCAAGCATGGGGCTCGGGAGCGGCCACCGGCACCTGGGTGCGGCCAGGGCAGAGCATGCGGATTTGGGCCGTGTGTACCCGAGAGGGCCGGCCACAGCGCAGCATGTGACTCATTGTCAGCAGGTGACAGAGGTCCTGGCTCCTGGTCTGTTTTGTGTTTCCAGACAGAAAGAGAAGGAACAAGGAATGTTCAGGACAGAAGAGCTGGCAGACAAAATGGCTGGAGTGAGAGACGTAGAGAGAGTCCAGGGAACCCCGAGCCATGCACACACGCGCACGCACACACACACACACACACACACACACACACACACACACACGGTCTAGTCTAGTCACTGTTCTGGGGAGAACGCGGAGCCCAGGCCTTCTCAGGCATCGTGTGATAGGTATCATGGGGCAGGACAGTGCAGGCACCCAGGCCAGGGCTGGCCAACTCCTCAGAGGAGCATGTGGTCCCCACAAGCCTGGAGCTGGGCTGTGGACAGACTGCTCCTGCCTGTCCAAGGCCCCTCCCTGTAACCAGAGCCTGGGCTTGGCTCCCAGGGCTGGGACCTGTTGCAGCCTTTTGTAGGGGCCCAGGAGGGGCAGGGCCTGACTGAGAGAAGTATGTGACCTACTTCAGGGGACATGACTGCACTGTGTGGCTTCCTTAGCAGTGCTATGCACACACACACGTGCATGGGCTCGTCTATGTGTGCCTGAGGGTGCACACCTGTGGGCAAGTGTGTGCATGGACTTACCAGACACCTGTGTGTGGGCATCAGGCCACAGCATGGTGGTGTGTGCATATGTAGGGGGAGTGGACACAGGTTTGTACAGGCTGTCCGTGGGAATGCATGTGTGCGCATGGTTGGGCTTGGGCTCTTCCTTGTGTGTGTCTGTACACGCATGGGTAGATGAGTCCTGGAACACAAGCCAGTCCTCACACAGGGCCAGACACAGGGGTGAGAAGTGCCCAGCTCTGGCCAGGCCCTGCTCAGGATGCTGCCTCTTCCTTGCCAGGGGCAGGTGGACACATCTGTGTTCCAGAAGGAGAGGTGGCAAGCAGCATACTGCTGCCTGGGGGGGTCCACAAGCTCTGCGGCTCCATCTCTCCACAGAGCCACTCCACTCCCAACACACATGCACGAGAACATGCATGCACCCACACATGTGTGTGCATACATGGCACACCACACAGTCACAATGCACGCAACCACACATATGCATACACCCATGTGCACACATATGTGTGCACTTACACACACACACTTGCCCACCACAGCGCAAGTGGGGGAGGCAGTACAGACACAGAACATCAGAGATGGACACCTTGTTGAAGACATAGCAGAAAGCAGATGGGTGCCGGTGTGGGTCGGGGGTGACCCCCAGCCTGTGCCCTGGCCCCACCCAACACCCCCCATCTGAGCTCTGGCCCAGCAGCCCTGCCCCACCCTGAGCCCTTGCCTGGACTGCAGGCTCTTGATGCGGGACAGCATGTCCAGGTGGCCGGCCGAGTACTGCTCGATGACATCCATCACATCGTAGGGCCTCAGGCTCTCCTTGAATTTCCGCTTGGACACTAGGAACCGCATGACACTGCAGGGGATGGGGGCTGTGAGTGCCGCCAGAGATTACCGGGGCCCACTCTGACCAGGCTGGCCCACATCCCCTGTCCATCACCTCCAAGCCCCGGGCTTAGAGACCGCGGCTGCTGCAGGCAACTGGAGGGCTCATCCCACTTATCTGAGACACCTCCTGCTGCCCACAGGCCACTCGCGGCCCTGGCCTCCTGGCTTCCGTCCCACCACAGGGGCCGTGGTCCTGGCTGCTCCCCCTTGGGCTTCCCGCCACCAGACACAAGGTGACCGAGTTACTGCGTGAGCCACGAGGATCCACGTGGAGAGGTGTCAGTCTGAGGCCTCTCTCTGGACAGGTGTACCCTGAGAATGGCCCCGTGGATGAGTGGCCCCGGGACACCCACCAGGACCCCATTTCTTTTCCTAGGAAACCCATCTCCTGTCTCCTGGTTGCTCTGCTGGGCCACAGGGCTCCTCACTGGTTGGGGCAGGGAACAAGAGGCCTGCCCTCCTGGGATGTGGGGCCGGGCCATATCCTCACCACACAGCTCTGATGCTGACTTTGAGGCCTGGGGTCAAGTCTTCGGTCACAAACTCGCAGTTGCAGCTCTTGTCATCCACAACATCTTCCCCTGGGAGACTTGCTTCTGGGTGGAAGGATACAGGCTGTGAGTGGACAAACCATGCAGAGGCCAGAAGACCCGCCCCTCTGGTCCCACTTGCCAGACAGTGCACTGGGAAACTTTGGGACTCCTGGACACCCTATGGGGCATGCCTGCTCATTCAGAACCCCTCTCAGTCCTGCCCTCTGCACCAGCTCCTCTGGCCAGGCCTTCCCAGTAGGCTGTGGCCACAGGGTGTGGCTGAAGGAGGACGTAAGAGGACATCTTTGTCCACAAATGGACAAACCAGTGGTGTGGCATGTCCATACGAGGGGACGTCATCCCACACTAAGACAAGACAGCATCCTAACATGTTACCACACAGAGAACTTCACAAACATGCTCAGTGGAAGGAGGAGGCACATGCCACAGCCACACGGCCACAAGGCTGGCGGTTGCGGGGACTGGGGGAGGGGAGCGGGGTGACTGTCTGGGGGCAGGGGCTTCCTTCTGGGTGAGGAGAATGTTCTGGAACTAGACTGAGGTGATGGCTGCACAATGCGGTGACTGTACTTTGTGCATCTTAAATAGTTCGTGTCACGTTGTGGGGATCTCGCCTCAACCTTATAAAGGGCAGGAGCATCCCACCCCACTGGCAAATGCAAGAGGCTGTGGCACCACAGGGTGGTGCCTGGCAGCTCAGGTATTCGGGGGGAACCTGGCAGCAGCTCAGCCCAGGGCAGGGCAGGCCATGGTCAGACCCACCTTCTGAGTTCTGCCGCGATGCGGCACCCTTGATCCGGAAGGCCTGGCGTGCCCGGCTGCGGTCTCCAAAGCTCCAGCTCTTGGGCACCTTGCTGGGGCTGTCCTCCAGGCTCTGGTCAGCACTGGGCGAGCGCCGCACGCTCTGGGCCTGGGGGGACCCCTTCCCCTTGGCAGCCACACCACGGGGGCTGGAGAAGACACGATCTTTCAAGCTGACCTTCTGGCTGCTCCCACGAGGACAGAAGATAGACAGACAGACACACAGAGAAACAGCAGAGTCATTTGGAAGGAACATGGTGTGCCGCTCAGGCGGCACTGTCCACAAGACCCAGGAAGACGCAGGTCCAAGAGTCACTGCGGGAGAGGCCGGCTGATGGGCGGGCTGATGGACAGCACTGCTGGGGCTGGGGGGGCAGCAGAGCTCGGCCAGGTGGGGGCCATGTCCGTGGACTCTTAAATCACTTTCTACTACCACCACAAGAGGTCAGAGCTGTCTCCACACTGTCCCATATGTCCTGCCACCTCTGGGGACACTCTGGGCAAGAGGCATTCCCAACCCCGAAGGACTGCCCCGGCCTCGCCAATGCTTTTCCCAGCAACTTCCCCAGGAATGGCCTCCTCCCTCCCTCGGACCCTCCACTACCTGCCTGCAGGGGCCAATAGCATGTCCAGCCACACCCAGGATCTTTCCCGCCAGCCCAAGAGCACCCCATGGGGGAACAGGCTCGAAAGGGCCAGGCCTCCTCTTTGGGGCTCAGGCTGTCCCTTTTCCAGCCCCCTAGGACATGCTGTCCCAAGAACTGAGCATCTGCCTCTGGAGTAGAGGCTCCTCGCAGCCATGGCCTTGTGGTCCTGAGCCCTGGCCCCAGGGTAGGCAGTGGCTGGAGAAGCAGGAGGACCATGGCTTGGACCCCAGGCCTGCAGGGTGGGAAGTAAGGTTCTCCACAGAGTAGACAGACTGCCACCTTCATATTATCAAGGTCCTCATCCCATTCCTTGGTAACCATGGACGTGGGTCTGCCCCAAGTTCACTGGCCCCAGTGCCCTCTGAGAAGCATCAAGGGGAGGTGGTAGGTAGCGTGGCTGGGGTGCACCAGGCAGACGTGGTCACCCCCACAGTCTGGAAGCACCAGAGAATGTGACTTCCTCCCGCCAGCCTCTCCACCATCGGCAGAGGTCAGCGGGGTACTAGAGAGCTGGTAATTGGCAGGCGGCCACCACATGGAATGGCCACCATGCAGAGCAGCCACAGAGCTTCCCAGAAGGGCTCTAGGCAGGGTGAGGAGGCCCAACGGGTCTGATGCACCCTCAAGGAGAAGCCCTAATGCCCAGTGTGGCTCATGAGTTCCTCGGACACCGCCTCCAGCCCTGTCACAGCTCCCTGGCCCGTGGTGGGAGAGGGCAGTCCCGATGCAGGGCCCCAGCCAGAGAGACACATCCATGAGATGGCACCAAGACAGCCGGCCACAAGAAAGAGCCCACACCATCCCCCACCGGACGACGCACTGTGATAAGGACCCCGCCCCACGCAGCGGCAACTTCTGAGACAAAGTAGAAAGACCCCCGGGGAAGAGGGTCCAGGTGTAGTGCTCACTCAGGGAAACGAGATTGGACAGGTAGGGTTCCCAAACACCCGGGCATCTGTCTGCCCCACGTGTTGGGAGCACCTGCTTGCTCAGGACACTGGCCTGGAGGCCGCACCTCTGCATCCCTCCTGAGGCCAACACAGGGGCAGGAGCCAGGGCTGTTCAGAGTCCAGGAGCCTTGGACCTTCTGGTTCCTGTCCGACAGGGGCACAGCTGGGTGGGGGAAACCAGACGCTTCAGGGGCCACGGGAGCACCGGGCCCCACCTGGGCACTGGCTTGGGACATTCTGGCTTCCAGGATACTCTCTCTTCCTACAGCCCCTCCTCCATGGCACAAGTCTTTTTCAGAGGCAGGAGTGTGGGTGGGAAACCACTCTTCTGATGTCACTCAATGACTCCATACCTCTCTCTCTGTCTCTAAGCCTGAGTGGGTCAAGTCCTGGAGAAGAGGAAGGAGTAGTCGTTTTCTTTCCCCTCAAAGCTGTTAAAAAGGCTGTGGAGGGTCCTGGGACCAAAGGGCCAAACCCCAGGACAGGGCTGCCACCTCACAGGGCTTTCAGGCAGTCACGGAGCCCATGGGCAGCAGCTAGGAGATGCTTGCCTCTAGGAATCATGTCAGATTCCTACGCTGACACCCACCACGGCCTGACGGCGCCAATGGATCAGATACCCACGTGAACACACAGACCCACGTGGCCACACCAGACCCATATTACCACACATATCCATGGGGCCATACCAGACCCATGGGGCCACATAGACCCATGTGACCTCACCAGATTCCTGTGGTCACACAGTCTGTCAGGCTGAGAAGGGCAGAGCCCCAAAGCCCATAGAGGGAATCCCACAGCCCAAGGACAGCAGAAGGGTAGCCATCAACAAACAAGGGTCTGACATCGACGTTTCCATTTTCCAGGTGATTCCACCTTCTTCCCCTGCCATCATGAGGAGCCACAGCCCCACCTAGCAGGCAGTGGGGTCCCCCCACTGGGTCTGCTGCCCCCATAGTCACAGTGGCTTCTTGGAACACAGCCCATGGCGCTGCCCAGGCCACTGCAGAGCAAAAGTCACACAAGGACAGAGCCACTGGGAGGAGCCAGCCTGGCCTCAGCGTGGCCTGCTGACCTGGCCCACAGGCTCTGTGCTCACCACGGTGTGCAAGGGACGCTCTACTGGGCGGACGGAGGCCTGACTTGGGTATATCCTTCCCTCCTCTGGGTGCCACAATTACCTGAACCCTGCCCTCAAGCAAAGCTGGTATGTGACACCCATCCCCTGCAGCCATCCTCACTGCAGGAACATACAGGGCAACTCACAGCCCCCTCAGCACCAAGCTAAGAACTAAAGCAACGTGGGAGCTCCCCACCTATCTGGGATAAGGATCCCTGCCGGGACTACCCTCCACACGGCAAGGGCATCTGGCACCTAGGCTTTTGTGCCTGCAGGGAGAGTCTGGGAGAAAGAACTGGGCCCTGTCCCTCTTGCCCTGCCTGCCACCCTCAAATGCATGGGGTGAACAGGGGCTGGAGGGAGGGCATCCACAGAGAACTGCCCGGTCACATCAGGACCAATGGATGCCCAAGTGGGAGGAGGAAAGTACGTCCATGAGGACCCACACTGGGGGGCGGGCGTGTGCCATGCTCCCGCCTTGTCTCCTGGCCCCACGGCCAGACCCTTCTGTTCCCCAAGCAACCCAGCCTTGGCCCCTGCCCTGAGGGACTGGCCTGCAGCCAGATGTGCCCTGGACACAGAGGCTCCGGGCCAGTAGGGCAGCTTCTCCCAGACTCATGCCCATTGTCCTCGGGGGCTTCCACAGCCTCCCCACTGGTGCCAGCCTCCAGAGCACCCAGGCAGCAGAGGGCATCAGTGGAGAGGCATGGGAGGGGAGGCAGCCCCCAGGCCTCGCCCACGGAAAGGCCCCGGACCATGCACGGATGCAAAGGCACAAGCATGCCGCCCGGGCCGACCCTCGCCTGGCGCCGCGGCTGCATGCACACACGAGGGCACCCCCCGCCGGCACGGCACAGCACCACTGTGACCTGGCTGCCCCAGCCGGGAGGTAGGAACCCCCGGAGCAAGCATCACACACCCACAGCAGACAGGGATAGGGGGACAGGGAAGTGCAATCAAGGTGCAGGGAGGAGCCGCCGTGCAAAGGGGGCGGCTTCTCCACCATCCTGCTTCCCGTCTGCCCTGCAAGGCCTGAGTCGGAAGGGGGGCCATGGCTTTCTGGAGCACTTGGGGCGTCGGGACCGAGGAGCCCGGCACACGCAGGAAAGCTTTCAAAGCCCCCACCAGCCCTCCTGCCACGCACAGGGCATCGCCTGGCACGGAGAGGAGAAAGGACCGCCTCCGCCCAGCTCTGCCCTGCACGCGGTGCGTCCGGCCAGAACTGGCCCCCGACTCATCATGAGCCTCTAACAAGCAGGCGGGCAGAGGAACCGAGCAGCAGCGGGCGTCCGTGCGGCACGTTCCGCGGTACCTAGGGCGTCCAGGGCAGCATCCGCACAGGGACCCTCTGCACCGTCTGCCTTGACTGGAAATGAGGAGAGCACAGTTAGTCCTAGGGCTGGCCATGGGCCACAGCCACGGAGCGGTCGACTGAGGCAGCCCAACCACCAGGGAATTCAGGATCGGTGGTCATGTCTGAGCCAGGACACAGGGAGGGGGCACCAGCATCTCCCGCCGCCCAGAGAAGGAAAGAGTCCCCATTTTTGGAGGTAAAAAAGTCCCTGTCTTTTTCCTCCAAAAACACCTTTTCCTTCTAATACCACAGTGTGAGCTCGTCTCCTGAGAGACATATCATTTTTTGCCATATTCATGCCAACAAAAAATAACACTTGGGCAAAGACCCTACAGAGAGCCTGTTCTGGACGGATGTGATTTCGGAGGGCAAGGGGTGGGAAGCAGCCGCATTCTAGGAGGAAAAATGTGCAGTTTGGCTTTACGAGCCAAGCAGCGAGCTTCTGCCACGCCAGCCGGTCCCCAGCCGGAAGCAGGCCTCAGTTTACCCAGAGGCAGCAGCTGCTGCTAACTGGAGAAAGCAGGGCTTGGGGATGCCTGGAATTTAACGGACTTGGCCAACGTCAGCAGGGACCGGGCCTGAGAGGACCCACGGGGCTGAAGTCCTGACTGAGCTATGCCCCTGCGGGGCAGGCCCCTAGATGAGCTCAGCAAATGCCTACCTTCTCCCAAGAACCTCCTGAAACCCTTCCCAAGAGAAACCCTGAGGCTTATGTCTGTGTGAGAATGCACCTCTCTTTAGGCAAAAATGCAAACACTGAGAACACCAGGGAAAGCCTTCCTTTTCCTCCAGCCTCTCCCTCACCCTCTGCGGCTGTTTTCACTGACACTTCACTTCTCAAACTACAAGCCCAGGAATGTGGCGTGTGCAACAGGAAGAAGGTGCTGAGCCCCCCTCCACGTAGGTAACATGTGTGCAATGACACATGTGCGAGCAACACGTGCACAAGCGACACGTGTGAAAGCAACGGTGTGCACGTGGCACGTGTGTAAGCGACACTTGTGTGAGTGACACATGTGTAAACACATGTGCAGGGGACACGTGTGTAAACGGCATGTGTGTACATGACATGTGTGCAAGCAACACTGTGTAAGCAACACACGTGCAAGCGCCAGCGTTCCCTGTGGCTCGCTGTCCACACAGCACCTATGAAGGCCACACCAGCTCATTCCACGGCTGCCCAGGCAGGCTGAGTCCTGGACGCCCTGAGCCTCCCACTCCCTGGCCCCCGAGGGACGGAGGCAGCTCCTGCTGCTCCCAGGCCAACTTTGCTTTTTCAGTTCACAGGCAGCTTCCAACTGCCATCACCCAGAGGCAAAGCAAAGGCAGGGAGTCTGCGGCTCACTTGCTGACTAGAAGGCAGTGGGGCCAGGGGGTTGGTACAGCTGTCCAGGTAGGGACAAAGTCCCAGCATTTGGCCCGAGGCTCAGCTTGCTCCCAGAACCCTTCCCACTGGGGCTGCTCCAGGCCACCCCAACTGCAGTCACACCTGAGATGCCCCAGCACCATGGGGTCCCAGTGCTCTAACAGACCCCATCCCTCAGGTTCCAGCTGGGGAGGCCCCCAGGCACGACCCCAGCACACTTGCTTTGCCAGGAAGCACCTCCCAGGGCCCTGTGGCCCCATATGCCCTGGAGACGTTCTCAGGCCACCCTGCCCAATGTGATGGCCCCAGCCACGCCTCTGGGACTGAGGCTCTAACTATGGTCAATGTAAGTGCTAATTCAAATGACCCCATGTGGCCAGTGGCTCCCATGTGGGATGCTACGGTCTGAGAGCCAAGCGAGGGCTAGGAGGGGCTTTGGCCACTGCCCGCTACAACCCCTGCTCTCCAGGGGGCTGAGGACCCCGCCTGCCTAGGGCTGGCGTGACCTGCACACTCCCTCTCCTGCTTCTCCAGTCACATGGCATATCCCTGTATAAGGGTTGCCCAAGGAGCTCAAGGCCCAGGCAGGGTGGAAGGGCAGGCCCACAGGGTCCTAGGGCCCTGAGCTTGGGGTGGAAAGGCCCACAGACACAGACCCAGACCAGACAGGACAGACACGTACTCAACACATGGACATCTGTGAAGAGGACGCCCACACGAATGAGATGGCACATGGGCATGGGGGTCCTCCAGGCACAGGCGGGGGACATGAGACATGGGACAAGACACAGTGTGGGCAGAGACACCATGAGACAGCGCCCAAGCCCCACCCAGCTCCCAGCCCAGACCCCAATGCAGACTCCTCGTGTGACTCCTGTGGGAGTGACACTCCAGACGGCGCTCACCACGATGCGCCTGTGCACTGAGCCAGGACAGGGGTCTCGGCAGCTGTGGGAGGGTCCCTGTGTCCACACTGTCCACCTGCCTGGGCAGCCGACACCAACGGATCCTGCCATGCAGGTTCTGCACCCATAGAACAGTCAGAGGCGCAGCTGGACACACCCAGCCCAGGGCCGGAGGGGAGGAGTAGGGGGTGGGCACCAAACTCCCTTAGTGCCTTATGGACCAGGCTCCTCATAGGAATCAAGAGACAGGCCCGTCCCCCATGGGTGACAAGTGTAAAACAACCTCCTTCACACAACAGGGCCACTGTGGTCCCAGGCCAGAGTGCAGGTGCCACCATGACCTGACTGGCAGGCAAGTATCCAGGATGGGCAGGTAGGCTTCACGGTCAGAGATCACACCTCACTCCCACGCACCCCAGGCACCTGCTGGCTGTGGGGAGCCCGTGTCCACGCAAGCCCCTTCCCAGGGACCAGGCCCCACGGCCCTCATCACGGCCACCACGGAAGGAGGGTAGGGCGGGCGCTGGCACTCAGGGAAGGGTATGGGGAGACACAGGCAGGTGGGATCACTGGCCACCGGGGAAGAGGCAGGAAGGGGAGCAGGGAGCCACGGAACATACCGGAGGGCCCAAGGCTCCCGCGTGTCCTCACCTGGAGTCCGCTTGAAAGCACCTCATCCCCACAGACAGAGCAGGCGAGAAAGGGGCCCCGGAGGGCAGTGACAGTGATTAAAGCACTTGGGGGCAGCAAGGGTCCAATCGTGGGGCAGGGGAGGGCGGGAGGAGAGAGAGAGAGAGAGAGGCTGAGACAGCGCTGCGGAGGGAGCAACCCGGGCAGCAGCACCACACGCAACTGGCCAGGTGCCTAGCGGATGGCTCCCGGGACAGGGCCTGGGGCCATGTGGGATGGATCGGAAGCCCCCATTACCCGGGCAGAGTGGAAGGTCAGCCCTCAGGACACAGCCTATGGCTGTCACAAAGAGCCGTCTCCAGGACTGGGGTCAGCAGAAGGCAGTACAGGGACATCGGCAGTAACGACGAGAAACGGTGTGGCCACTCACGAGTGGGTGCTATCCCTGACAGCTGAGGCTGACACCTGTCCCTGTCCCACCCTCTGGGTCCGGTGGGCTTGCGTCTCCAGCCCATCTTGCCCATGACAGTGCCAGGGCAGACGCTGCACAGGGCTGGCCCTATCTCCCTGGTCCCCAGTTAGTTCCAGTCATTGGTTGTTCTTGTGGCTGGTTCACGGCAAAAGAGTTGCCAATCTTTTCCATTCAGGGCACCAACAGTTCCCCTTCTGTGAGATGTGCGGGGAGCAGGGGACTGTATCCCCCTCCAAGTCTGGAGAAGGTGGGCCTCTGTCTCCTCCCACACGAGCTCCCCATGTCTGGTCAGCTGTGGTTCCTTGCAATCCAGGAGGGCATGGGGGGGGGTAGGTATCCACCCTGGACCCACAGTCTGTTGCCAGGTTTACTACAACATGTGGACAGGGCTCGAGGCTCAGGGGAGCTTGGGGCTCAGCCTGGGCTGGACAATGGGCAGAGGCTTGTCAGACTCTTATCTACCCAACCCGAGCCTAGCCCACGAGGTCCCCCAGAGTCCCTTTCTAACTTGCCACACACCACCTTGGGGCAGGGCGGGGCAGAGAGAGGGACCCAGGACAAGCACCTGGGCAGCTCCTGGGCCGATCTTGACCTCCCCGGCACATGGGGAGAGGGAGGCAGGCAGGATCTCCTCTGAGGGGGACGAGGGCCTCCCACCAGCTCAGAAACTATCCACAGACCAGGGTCCCCGGTGAGGGTGTGGGCAAAGGCCCCTCCTTCCCATTTACCCTGGTACCTCCTGCCTGCCTGACCCAGAGTGAACCTGCTGGGTGTTTTCACCTGGGTGGGCCTCGGCTCTGCCCAGCTGCAGGTTTGGGCTGTGAGCTGGACCCAAACCTGGAGGGGGATGCTCTAACAGAATCCCCACCTTGGGTCCCCCGGGGCCGGACTATCGGGTGGTGGAGGGGCCTGCCTAAGGACCCCCACCCTCCAGCTTCCCGGATCTGCAGTGCTGCAGAGAGAAACCAAAGCACTGAAGGACGAGGGGTGAACAAGGAAAAGGCATTTAAGGGCCCACATCTCCGAGGGTAGGGTGAGCACACAGTCACACGCTCACACACGGAAGCACACGCCCTGGGACAGGTGCACACACAGGAGCGAGACCAGACGGGCGCGCATGGCGGACACGGAGCGCAGCTGGAGGAGGGGGACACTGACCTTGGGGACGGCTCTGGTGGAGGCTCCTTCCTTCAAACAGAAGAAACAGAGTTAGTGGCAGCCCTGGGACAGGCCTCATGCAGGGCCAGTGGCCAGGAGAGGGACCTCCCTGGGTGCCCCCCCGGGGTCCCCTGACCTGCCCAGCCCTCATGGTCCCATGAGTTGGGTGCTGCATGTGAGGAGAGCCCTAGGAGGCCCGACAAGGGCAAAGACAGCTCCCACTCCGTGAGGGCCCAATGCCCTTCTCCAGCCCTAGAAGGAAGGGTGGCTCCAAGAAGGGCCACATGGCACCCCGACCCTGGGGTCACCATCACCCACATTTGTGGTTGTGATCAGCATCACACCAGTGCTAACACTGAAGAAGGATACTCAGGACAGTGAATAGGTTTCAGGACCGATAGGGCTGCCTCAGGTCTTCCCACTTTTAACATAACAGGACAATCCTCTTCATGTAGTTTCCCCCGGTGGTTCCACCTGCACTGCTGTGCTCTGGTCAGACAGCCCATGTCCAGCCTTTCCAAGGTCAGCTGTCTCAGCCTCACTCTGCAGCAAGGTCCTTGGGTCCACCAGATGATTTACTTGGGGTGGATCATTTCCATCAGTAAAATTCATTATCAACTGAGTAAAAGACTGGTGGCTTGGAACTAGCCGGGCGTGGTGGCATATGCCTGTGGTCCCAGCTACTCAGAAGGCTGAGGCAGAAGGATGGCCTGAACCTAGCTGCATTCTAGCCAGGGCGACAGAGTAAGACCCTGATTTCAAAATGTAAAATAAAAAGACTGGTGGCTTGGGTCCTCACTTGGCTCAACCATGGGGCAAGGGCAGGTGGTCTCGTTTCAGAGGTTGTGGATGGCACACAGACCTGGCTGTTGTGCTAGAAGTGGGCTGTCTGCACGGCTGGATACTGCACAACGGGGACCATGTTGCCATGGCACTGGCAGAGGGGAGTGTGTAGGAGGGCCAGAAGGAGGCTGGACTCCCTGTCTGAGCTGGGGGTCCCCGAGGCCTGAGCCCAAACCCCCTTGGAGCCCCCTCAAGAGCAACAAACACCTCACAGGGGGTGAGGTCAGCAACACATTCAGAGACATGGCCTCGGTGGGCGCCTGCCCTGTAGACCCCAAGTAATCCCACCTGGAAGACGCACCCAGGGCACCTGGGGGACACGCTACTCATCAGGCACATCTGGGCCCGGGCCCCAGGAGGGGACATATACAGGGCACCTGGGGGACGTTCTGCCCTGCAGGGCAGGTCTGGATCTGGGCCTCAAGAGCAGATACACCCAGGGCACCTGGGGGACACTGCCCCAAGGGGCACGTTTCAGCAGGGGCCTCAGGAATGGACACACCCAGGGCATTTGGGGGACACTCTGCCCCATGGGCACATCTGGGCCTAGGCCTCAGGAGGAAACATCTCTGCTGCATTTGGGGGACATTCTGCCCCATGGGGCATGTCTAGGCCCAGGGCTTACAATTCACCCTACACCTGTTTCCTGGGGAGGCTGAAACAAATGACCACCAGTTTGCCGGCTTAAGCCACAGGAATGCATCCTCCCACATGCTGGAAGCCATGTGCCCAAATTCAAGTTGTCGACGGGCAAGGCTGCTTCTGAGTGCCCTGGGAGAGGGCCCTTTCTGCCTCTCCCAGATCCTGGTGGCTAAAGCATCCCTGGGCTTGTGGCTACATGGCTCCAGCCTCTGCCTCCGTCTTTCATGGAGTTCTCTCTGTGTCTCTTCTGTTCTTCATGAGGATGGTTGTCATTAGATTTAGGGCTCACCCAGATAACTCAGGATGGTGTCATCTTGGGACCCGTGATGCTGTTATATCTGCAAAGGCCCCTTTTCCAAATAAGGCCACATTCATGGGTTGTGGGGCACAGCCATGACTGTTTGGGGACCAGCATTTGACCCGCTAAATCCCCCAGCCCCCAGAACTTGTGCCCATCTATGTCCAGACATCCACCTGTCCCAGCGTCTCAACCCATCACAGCAGCAACTGTGTCCAGAGCTCATCCACATCCATCTGTTCAGAAAGTCCCAAGTACCAACCAGAATCATCATGACCACTGGCATAAGGTGTGCGTGAGACTCTGGGCAAGAGCCATGTGGGGCTCACATTCTCCTTTCTCGGACCTGTGAATCTGGGAGATGCGTCATCTGCTTAAACATGCAAGGACAGGATGGACGTCGGACAGACATGCCCATTCAAGAAGGGGCCACTGATCGCCCAAGCTTCAGACATGGCAGGGCAGGTGCCACTTGGCATGAGCTCCAGTGGCTCCTGGCTCCATCAGCCGTGCTCTGGATTCAGGACCACTCCCCTGCCTGAAGCCTGTATGTCCCAGTTGAGCTGTGCCATTGCCCTCTTCCTGCTTAGAGGACCCCAGGTGTCTCTGCTGCATTAGTCTCTGGCCCTTCCAGAGTGTCTGTGGCAAAAAAAAAAAAAAACTCCCCGGAACCTCATGGGCCTCCCAAGTGCACCACAGGGATTGGTGCCACTTGCCGAGTCCATCCTCTGCACTCTGCACTCTTCCTGGACTTCCACTGAGATGCTCAGGGTGTGTGAGCCACACGCCCGCGCCCTCAGCAAGGCCTGCCCGCATCCCCAAGCCTCCCCACAGGCTCTGCTGTTGTCCTCTGCTGTTGGGAAGGGCGAGGCCCTCCCACACCTCCAAGTTCCAGTTTCTCTTAGCAGTTCCAAGGAGAGGCCAGACTGCAGCTCCACGCCAGGCCTGGCAACATCCAGGCTAACATCCATGTGCCGACTGTTATTAATGAACAACTAAAGCATGTTAAAAAGGAAACATGTCCAGGGTCACCATCCACAGGTCCTGCTTCTGCCCAGCAGGGGAGTCCAGCCCAGCAGAGTCTCCTCCTCCTCCACGGGCACAGCACAGATCAGCCCCCTTCAGGCCCCTGGAGGGTTCCTCACCCCCCTACTACTGCGCCAGGGGTGCCTGTGGATCCAAACTCCACCCCACTGCCTCTTCAAGGTGACACAGGCCTCTCCCAGCCTCTCCTGGCCTCTGCCCTTCACCCAGCTCCAAAGCCATGTCCCCGTGTTCAGGTGTTTGGGACAGCAGCACCGCTGTCCGGGATCAAGTCTGTGTGTGCTGGCGGGGCCATTGTAAGCTGCCATAACAGAGTACCATGATGTGTTTACACCAACAGAAATGTGTCTTCCCACTGTGCTAGAGGCAGCAAAATCCAGATGTGGCAGGGCCACATCCCACCGGAGGCTCCAGGGGAGGTCCCTCCCGCCTCTTCCAGCTCCTGTGGCTCCAGGTGTCCTTGGTTTGTGGCCACATCAGTCTCTTTCCTGTCCTCATGCAGCCTCAAAGTATGTCTCCAGAGCCCCTCTCCTGATGAGAATGCTCCTAAGATTCAGTCCCCAGAGACTGGGATGATCTCCTCTTGAGTCCCATTCCCAGGCTTCAGGGCCTGGCACAACTTTGGGGAGCAGGGACCATCATCCAACCTCCTGCACCCCTTCTGCCCATGGAGTGCTCTTCTAAGACGGTGGGGAGCCCCGCCAGATGTCCTGTGCTGCGTTTCTGCTCAGCAAGCCCCCCTGCATCCACTCCACATCCTGGAACTCTGAGCTGTAGACTTGGTGATGACAGGAGAGCCCACAGTTGCCTCCAATGGACACTCCACGAGGATGCAGGGCTGGGCCCCTCCTTCTGCCTGGTCCCAAGTGAGCCCTGCAGAACTCCACCCATGTACTACATGCTCCTCACCCTGCCACCCTTCCCCCTGAGCCTGCCCACTGACCCAGGTGACCTGTGGGGGCAGGAGCCTAGGTTGGGTCAGCAGAAGAGGAAAGAAAAGCCCTATCAATGCCAAGTCTAGTGGCCAAGCACATCCCAGGGCTCCTGCAAGTCCCCAGCCACCAGCCAGGGCCAAGTCCTCCATGGGGGTCTGAGACCTCCTCTACCCAAAGCACCCACCCTGCTGACCTGAAGGCGAGTCCAGATTTACTCTTGAGGTTCCGCAGCAGCTCCAGCTGGTTGAGGGGGGGGATCAGCCTGGGCGAGAGAAGGAAAGGTCAATGAGCTTTCTGCCCACCTGCGGCCAAGGGGCATGGCACAGCCAGGCAGTGGCCCACTGTCCCGGGCTCAGCATCCAACTCTCCCAGGCAGGACCTAGGGAGCCTCAGTGACCAGCAGGGACAGCAGGGGAGCTGTACCCGCCATCCGTGGAGACCCCGGCCCCTATAGCGTGGAGAGGGGAAGGAGGCAGCATAGGTGGGGACACCCTCTTCCCCTCCCGTCTTGCCACCAAACATCTCCGAGGGGAGCACGGCTGTAACACAGCACCCAACTTACGTAGGGCCCAGCCCCCACTTTGCCAAAGTCAGAGGTGGGGAGAATGCAGAAAAGGGCTTTGCTGGGCAGACAGGAGCTCGTGTCAGGTCTGTAGGTTGAGCTCAGCCTCCTTGGGGACCCTGGAGGGTGGCCCAGCTCTGCTCCAAGTCCCCTTCCCAGTCCTGGTCACACCCACCACCCCAGGAAGGCATGTGAGCCCCTCCCCAGGTTTGGACTAGTTTCCTCTCTGTACCTCCCTCCCACCAGCTCATGCCCCAGCTCCTCCTTGCCCCTCCAGCCCCACACCCTTTCCATCTTGATTCACAGGGAGGCATCCCACCTTGGGGGATGCAGCCCTTTTTCTGCTGCGACCTGGGGCCATCCTGACTCAGTCTCACCTGCTCCTTGACACCTGCATTCAGCAGAACTCCTCCATGGCCTGACTCCTCCCCCACACCCGACTCCTCCCCCATAATGTCCCGACCCCTCCTCCCACACCTGATTCCTCCCCCATGCCTGACTCCTCCCCCACATCCCCGATTTCTCCTCCCATGCCCTGACTCCTCCCCACCACACCCCAACTCCTTCCCCCATGGTCCCAACTCCTCCCCTAACACCACAACTCCTCCTCCCATGGTCCTGACTCCTCCCCACACGCCCCACTCAACTGTGGCCCCAGGCCCCACCCTGTCCTCTGGCTCCAGCCTTCCTGATGCCCCTGCTGAGCCCACTGGGGCCTCCTCCTGGCTTCTCTGCTTCCTGCAGCAGGCCCACCACCTCCCAGCCGGCCCTCCCCTGCCTACCTGCCACGTGGCCACAGAAGCTGCCCCTTCCCAGTCTCTCCACTCTGTCTCCAGCCAGACTGTGGCCTACCTCACCTGGACTCCTCAGCTGCCCGTCTCTCGCCCGCCTGCCCTGCTTGGCTCTCCAGATGTGCATCCTTGCCAATCTCCTGATCAACCACCCAGAAACTCCCACTGCCTCCAAAACAACAGGGCCACTGACTCCATGGGCCTTCAGGGCCTTCATCCTGCCATGCTCCTGCTCCCGAGTTGCCCCGGAAGATCCCCTGCCCCGTCTCGCCCCACCAACTTGCGGGGTCCTCTCCAGGTTGAGCAGCACTTGGCCCCTCTGTTCCCTCTACAGCCCCAGAGCTGCTCCAACAACACTGGTGGGAGAGATGGTCCCGTGAGCCCCTGACCCCGCTTCCCTCCCCAGGGCTGTCCACTGTCTTGGTGGTTCCGGATGAGGCGGTCAGGTGTATCAGCTCCTGCCATGGGAGCAGCCTGGCCCAGTCAGCCTCTGTCCAGGGGTCACAGCTGGCCCCCCATCCCTCCTCAGTTGCCACCCATGCAGTGACCCTGGGACACCCTCCCAGCTCAGTCCCACACGCAGGCCCGGGCTGGACACAACATCAGCTCTGAGAGCCAGATGGGAGTCTGTGCCTCGGATATGGAAGGCCTTGCAGATGTTAGGATGTCCATGTCTGGGCGTGTTGGGGGTGCAAGTGCCCATGAAGCCTGGTCTGCCTGCCCTGCATGGCACCCCCTTCCCTTCTGGGAGTAGAGGGATTAACACACTAAGGGTTCCCACAGGGCTGACAGGTCTCCACCCCAGGAAGGGCAAGTGGCCCCTGGGAGTCAGTGGGGCCTCTGATGGGGCCACCCTGGGCTATGCAGGAAGGGTCAGGTCCCCCCTACCCAGCACAAGCCACCTGCTCCACAGGGAAAAGCCCTCCCACCATGTGGGCGAGGTTTCTGCAGCAGCTCAATAGCCCCAGTCTGAGCAAGTGCCTCATTTCCCATTCAGTGGGGAGGACCACAGGGTGGACACACCAACTCCCCAGTGGGAACAGGGAAGGGACAGCTCCAGCATCTCTCCCAGGCCTGCAGACCTCCCTGAGTTGGAGGTAGGACTTGGGAGGGAGAGTCCAGGGAGGGAGACTGAGGCAGGGCCCAGGGGACTGCCCCACAGACACCTCATGCGAGCCCAACTGCGGCGGGATCAGAAGACAGGTGGCACTTGGTTACATGGCAGGAGCCCCATATCCGCCACTTCTGCCCGTGGGGGCAGGGGGGGCAGCTACTAAGACATGGCAGAAAGCAGGACAGGAACAAGGGCTACTGGGGACAAACGGATCAGGCAAAACAGAAGCAGCGTCAAGGAGAAGGGTGGGAAGGCACAAAGAGGGACACGGGGTCCCAGGAGGGCAGGGAGGCGCCAGGGAAGAGGTGGGCTGGACAGGTGGGCTCCAGGCAAGGCAGGGTCAAAGGGTCCCTCGCCTGGGGCCACGAGGTGCAGGGGTGCTCTGGGCAGCCATCAGCTTGGGGGTCAGGACCAAGGGCTCTGCAGGCTTGGGGTTGGGGGCTGGAAGGCTGGGTGCCAGGGGGATCAGGAGGCTGGGAGCTCAGGGGGCCAGGACAGGGGCTCTGCAGGCCTAGGGGCTGGGGAGCCAGGGGTTAGGGGCTGGGGGCCACAGAGCCAGAGGCCGGGGAACCGGGTACTCCCAGGGTTATGCCCATCGCCCCCAGACAGAAAACGAGAACCACACACACAGCTCTGTCCCATGCATGTCCTACCTGGAGGCCCCGTAGGTTTGAGTTTGCGAGCTTTCAAGTGTTTTCACACACACACAAAGGGAAAAGAACAGAAAATTGAAAAGAACGGGATAAGAAAAAGCAAAGGAAAAAAGAGTCAAGGAAAGTGGGGGAACAAAAGAACAAAGAAAATTAGCACAGGGTCAGTCCTGCCCCACCCGCTGGGAGGGTCGCTTTGCCAGGAGCACCGGCTCAGGGATACCCAATGCCCACGGTCCAGAAAGGACAGGCATGGCCAGGCCCCTGGTCAGCCTTCCAGAAGGTGCAGGGGGCATGGGTGCTGGAGGAGGGGCAGGCAGGCCCGGAAAACAACTGTCAAGGACCGCCAGGACTCCAGCACCTCCTTCCCGGTGATGCGCCCCTGCAGAGGCAGATGGCAGGTGGGGACAGCCTTGGGCCCGTCTGACCATCCCTAACTTCAGGAACCCCCGAGGATGCCCCCAGCCTGGAAACCCCACTCTTGGTGGACAGAAACACCACTGCAAGATGAGGAGGGTCCATGAGCTGGGAAGTCCCAAGACTCAGCCTCCCCCTCCCAAGACTCAGCCTCCCCCGCCTCAGAGCAGAAGGCAGGCAGGGTGGAGCCCACCCAGAGGGGCTTGGGGCATCTGATCTGCATGGACCATGCGAATGGCCCCAGAACCCCTCATCTCAGACCTTAAGAGGCAGCACAGAAAACTGGGTGACCGAGCACACGGGCTTCTGGGGGCTCCAGAGCTGTCTGTGTGCTTGTCTTTTTGAGAGTTGGGACCATCATGGTCATTGGGGTCTCCCAGTCCGAGAGTCTCACTGTGATATGGGGTCACTTTCCTCACTGCAGGACGGGGTCACGATGCCATTCCACTTTAAAGCTGGGCCCAGGCACCCCATGGGCATTTACCTCCGAGCACCCAGGAGGAGCTCGTGTCCCGGGCTCACAACACAGCCACCCATGGCCAAGGGAACAACGCAAGGGGGCGGGGAGATGGAGGTGAGAAACCAAAGCCACGATGCTATGAAACAAAGAGCAAAATTAACCACACACAGAATTCGAAATAAACACACGCAGAAGTCCTTTTTGAAAAATACACACATTTTAAAGAAAAAAAAGGAAATCAACCCATCAAAATAATGAACAGCAAAAAATTGGCTTCCAGAACAAATGGAAAATAAAGCACAAAACTGGTGCATGGTGGCAGCACGGCAGGCGGCAGCGGTACCTGTACATGGGCACGGTCACCGTGCGCTCGTAGTACTGCCACGTGGAGTGCAGGTCTGTGCGGGACAAGTTGGTGGCATAGAATCTCCAGGCGGACTGTGGAGGGGAAACAGGCAGGGTCAGCCTTGGTGGGGATGGGTGGCCTGGCAGCAGCGGCTTGGGGGGCCTTGTTTCCCATGATCCAGGTGCACTGTGGGTCCAGGCACAGGGGACTCTCAGCCAGGAGGGCCAGGCCCCAGCGCCTATTGCAACCCCATAGTCTCAGTTTACCCTCTGTAGGAAGGTCAGGCAGGGTCACCTGTGGGGCCTGGGGTCTCCATGGGGAGCAGGTCAGGTGCTCAGTACCAGGCCCACAGTGGGTCTGTAGGGAGCCCTGCATCCCCTCCCCTTCATTGTGTCTCCCTGACACTGGGGGATATAACCCATCAAGGTAGTCACCTTCTTGCCCTTCCAGTGGCTGCATGGGACCAGAGGAGCTGGGGATGGGGCGGGGTTAGGGATGTGAGCTCCCATCCTCCATCCTGCCCAGCCAGGGACAGCCTCTCCAGTCATGGGGGGACTTAGCCCAGCCCGTGGGCTTGAGCCTGCCTCCACCAGGCAGGATTTCTGTTCCCTACACCTGTGTATTTTGTTTTTTGTTTTGGGTGCTGAAATACACATAACAAACTTCATCACTTTAGCCTTTTTTTTTTTTTTTAATTTTTTGAGTTGGAGTCTCACTCTGTCATCCAGGCTGGAGTGCAGTGATATGCTCATGGCCACTGCAGTCTCAACCTGCTGGGCTCAGGTGATCCTTCTGCCTCAGTCTTCCAAGTAGCTGGAATTACAGGCACACGCCACCATGTCTGGCTAATTTTTTTTTAATTTATTGTACAGATGAGGTCTCACCAAATTTCACAGGCTGGTCTTGAATCTGTGGGCTCAGGCAATTCTTTCACCTCAGGCTCCCAAAGTGCTGGGGTTATAGGCATGAGCCACAGCGCCCGGCCTCTTTAGCCATTTTAAAGTGCAGAGTTCAGTGGCATTTCATACCATGTGTGCAACTGTCACCCTATCTAATCCAGAACTTCCTTTCACCCCCAAGAAACCCCCTGCACACTGAACCCCTTCCCTCCTACCTCGGCTCTGGCGGTTGCCCCATGCATTTGCCTCTAGGATGTGCCTATTCTCAGTGTTTCCCATCCACGGAACCATGCGGTTCATGGCCTTCTCTGCCGCTTCCTCCACAGAGCACAGTGTCCACCAAGTTCACCCACACTGCAGCATGTGTCCGCACCTTGTTCTTCTTTATGGCCAAATAATAGTTTTACAAGAACATCACCTTTGGTCCATCCATTCATCATGATGGACACGGGTGGTTTCCACTCTCTGGCCATTGCCACTCACTTGTGCACACATTTTGTCTGGAGATGTGTTTTCGATTCTTTTGGGTCTATACCTAGCCTGGAATTGCTGGGTCATGTGACAACTCCATACTTAGCTTTTTCAGAAACTGCCAAACTTCTCCACGGTACCTGCACCACTCTATGTTCTGCATAAGCAACGGATGAGGGCCCCACTTTCCCCACATCCTCACCAGCACTCCTTCCCACTGCCTCCAGAGGTGGGCAGGGGCGTCTTCATGCAGTGTTGACTCACATTTCCTAATGACTGGCAGGACTGAGTGTCTTTCCACCGGCTTATATGCCACTTGTGTGTCTTCTTGGGAGGTTGTCCACTGGAATGTTTTGCCCAACAAGCCTTCAGGCTGTTTGTCCTTTTGTTGTAAAGTCGTGAGAGTGAGACTCCGACCCAAAATAAATACATAAATAAGTGTCTTAAAACTGTCGTTGGAGCTGGGCTCGGTGGCTCAGCCTGTAATCCCGCGCCTTTGGGAGGCTGAGGTGAGTGGATTGCCTGAGCCCACGGGTTCCAGACCCACCTGGGCAGCGAGACCTCATCTCTACAATAAATAAAAAAATCAGCTGGGCGTCGTAGTCTGCGCCTGTAATTCCAGCTACTTGGAAGGCTGAGGCGGAAGGACTGCCGGAGCCCAGCAAATTGAGGCTGCAGTGGCCAGGAGCGGCCACTGCACTCCAGTCTGGGCGACAGAGTGAGACTCCAACTCAAAAAAAAAAAAAAAAAAACAACTGTCAATGGTAGAGGGAGGTTAGGGGTATTTCTGTTCTTCTTCTTTTTTGAGTCAGAGTCTCACTATGTTGCCCAGGCTAGAGTATAGTGGCATGCTCACAGCCCTGCAGTCTCGACTTGTTGGGCTCAGGCAATCCTTCTGCTTCACCCTTCCAAGTAGCTGGAACTATAGGCATGCACCATCATGCCCAGCACATTTTTTTTAATTGTAGAGACGAGGTCTCGAACCCGTGGGCTCAGGCAGTCTTCTCACCTCAGCCCCTCAAAGTGTTGGGATGACAGGCGTGAGCACCTGTGCCTGCATTTCTATACTTTATTCACTACTGCATTTTAAAAATTGCCATGTGGAGCTTCTACAGTGAAAGATAAATGCACACATGGAGCAGGCTGGCAGGGCAAGGCGACCAGAGCCACAGCTTTGAAAGGTGGCAGCACAGCCAGGGCCACACCAGCTATGGCCATCCTGGTCCCTCTGAGGGCCCAGGGGGTCCCACAGATTCAGGAGGAGCCATAAGAACACCGGCTCCCCAGGGAGTCAGCTGTCCTGTCCACATTGTCAGCTGTCCTGTCCACATTGTCCACACTGTCCTCAAGAACGACTGTGGGATGCTGGAGAGAACACTGCACCCTACCCAACCCCAGAATGATGGGTTGGGGCAGGGTGAGGCTGGCATGGTGGCACACAGTCCAGTGTGGGAGGGCAGACGCAGCCTTGGGGCCTGCTCACCACCCGAGTGAGGTGCTTTCTGCGTTAGTCCCGCATCTGCAGAATGGGCAGCTAATGCACCCACCTCCCCACAGCGCCAGGCAGGATAGTGGGGCCATGGTGCGAGTGCCGCCCAGCGTCCTCACAGGAGGCACTGCTGTGTGACTTCGGGGATTGGAACTGTTTCTTGACACCCTGACTCAGACAACCATTTCCTTGACACGTTACCGCACAGAACAAAAGCCTTGGTTGGGTCACAGACGTGGGACACCAGGGCCCAGGTGGCTCCACTCCTGGACATAGTGGGACTAAGATGGAGCTCCCCTGGTCCCAGGTGGGGGTACCAGACTCACCTGGATCAGGCCTGCCGCCGGGTTCCGCCTCTTCTCAAAGTGTTTCTGCCGGTGCTGCTCTTGGACCTTCAGGGCAAAGCCAGACCCCAAGATGCCCTGCAAGTCATGGGGTCAGACCACACCCAGGGACCCATGCCCCAAGTCATGGGGTCAAATCATACCTGGGGACCCATGCCTCAAGTCATGGGGTCAGACCACGCCCAGGGACCCAGCCTCATGTCATAGGATCAGACCATGCCCAGGGACCCAAAGCCCTAAGTCATGGCATCAGACTACACACTCAGGGACACACAACCCAATTCATGGGGTCAGACCATGCTTGGGAAACCCAGTCCCCAAATCATCGGGGTGAGACCACACCATGGACCTCCAGCCCCAGTTGGTTGGAGTCAGACCCATCTCTGCTGAACCATACCTCCACCACTTCCTCAAGGTCACACTGCATACAGGGACCCTTACCTCCCAAGTTCATTCATCAGCACTGGGCCACATTCTAGAACCCACAGCCCCCTTCCCACACTTCCTGGGCTCCTGACAGCCACCTTCACGCTCATCGGCTTCCCCAGCACATCCCAAGGCCTCAGAGGCTCTGCCTTCCCACCTCCTCAGTCCTTTCCACCTGAAGACCAGGGCGGGGGAGCTTTCCTTAAACCTGGGGCCCACACTGAGCCCAAGTGGACACTCCTGCCCTTGTCCACAACTCACAAAGAGCTCTCAGTGGAGGGGCCAGTGGGGTCCGGCCTTTTGAGGTTGTTGGTACCACACCAGCCACCCTGCCCTGTTCTGCTGTCTTAAAGGGTCGACAGGGTCTGTCCTCTTCCTTTCTGCCCCAAGACCTGATATGGAAGTGGTCACCGAGCAGCACTGCCCCTGGTCACAAGGACCGCCCAGCCCCACTCAAACTAAGAGGAGCGACCAGAGACAAGCAAAGGCCCTGGAAACAGTGACCTGGACCCCAGGAATGCTGCTGCAGGGATCAAAGGAGGCTGCCAGCACCAGGGACATGGGCTTCTAGGCCAGGCCAGCCCCACTCCAGTTCTGTAGAAACCAGGCCGTGGGCCCACTGGGAGCTGCTCCTGCCCTGGGTCCTCCCCGGGGCAGTGTCCAGGGTGGCCTATGGCCACCTAGGGAGGCTGTGTGGCCTCATCCCCCACAAAGGCAGGAGAGGAGGACTCACCGCTGGGAGCGCGAAGAACGAGACGCCAATGAGGGTGAAGGTGGCTGCCAGGAGCCGCCCGTTCCAGGTCTGCGGATACTTGTCTCCATAGCCAATGGTTGTCAGGGTGATCTGCGGACCGTGGACGCCAGTCACACAAGGGATTTGCTGGAACCCAGGGCAGCTGGACACCAGCAGCTGCTCAGGGCCAGGCTGGGACAGAAGCCAGGGCCACCCACCCCGGATATGAACACGGGCCTGAGAGGCCAGGGCCGATGTCAGCTGCCCCTCAGCCTGCGGCCACTCAAGCCTCTCAAGCCTCTCTTCGTCCTCTCCATGCCAGAAGGGTCCCCCAAAGGCTCTGTGCCCATGTCACACCTGAGAGGACCTGGAGAGCCAACGGGCCTACACCAGGGCACGGCGTCAGGACCGCGGTTCCCACCTCATTGACCACCAAGCTCGAAAGCAGGCAGAGGCAGAAGTGCCACAAGGGACCCAGAGAAAGGGACCCAGAGAAAGGGGATGGGGGCCAGCAGGGAGCTCACAAGAGGTCAAGCGGCTCAGGCCAGAGAAGGTAGGGTTGAGGGAGGAGCCAGCACCTTCCAACAGAGGCTTGGGGAAGGACAGGAGGCCATGGGGCAGGGCAGGGAGAGGTGAGGGGTTCCCCAGAGGGTGCAGAGAGGGCCATATGCTTATGATGCAGGTAGGCCTCCTAGGGACCGCCTTCACCCCACAACCCGGCAGAGCAGGTGGGTGGTCAACAAGGAGGAAGATGGCACCACAGCCCGTCTGGAGCCAACCCTCCCACCCTGCACCACAACTGCCTCTGCCGCCACCTCCCCACGCCGTCATGGTCTTGGGAGGCCAGCAGGTGGCCCCCAAGAGACGTGCCCAGCCAGCTCAGCCAGTTAGCCAGTGCCCCTGTCTCCCCTCTGGCGCTGGGGCCAGAGGAGGGTGGGGAGAGAGGTGAATGTCTTCAGGGAGGGAGGTGCAGAGACCAGGACTCACCAGCCCCCACCAGAGCGCGTCAGCATAGGTGTCGAAGTGGTCGTTCTCACCCTTCTCTGCCAAGTACACCAGAAACGAGGCCAGGATGAGGCAGAGGAAGCCAATGTACCAGGCGGTGACCAGCTCCTGTGGGACACACGGCCATCACGCCACCCGTCAGACTGCCTGCAGGAGGTCTGCCCTGGGCTCTGTGCCCGGGGCTTTAGGTAGATGCCCCACCCCAGGTCAGCAGGGGTTCTGTGCATGGGGGCAGTGAAACCAGGAGGGTATAGCTCCACCACCCCTGCAGCACTGCTCCTCCCGGTGCCCAGGAACAAGCCAGCACCCACCCAGGCTTGAGGGTGTTCACCCTAGCAGCCAGCAGGGCTGCAGAATCTCTGAGGTGGAGCACCCCCCTGACCTTCCCAAGCCTTGGAAAAACAGCTCCGGAAGAGCATGCCCCCCAATCAGCACCCTGGTCCCCACGGCATCTAGGGAGGGCTGAGGGACCTCCAGGGGGCTGATACCTGCCTGTCTTGCCTCTAAAGTCACTGCCCCCTTCAGGGAAGTAGCACAGATAAGCCCCCGTGAGCAGCATGGCCTGAAAGCACAGCCTGGCAGGACAGGGCCTTGGTCCTGGGGAATTGGGGTCCCCGGAGCACAGGATGTATGGCTGCAGCCACCTTGTAGGTTCCCCAACTGGCCACCACAAGCCACAGCTTAAACAACCACATAGGCAGGTGACTGGGCAGTGTATTGATCCAGGCACTAAAAACCCAGGAAATAAGACTCCCAACCACAGAAGACACCAGCGGGGGGCGGCAAATGGACAGGACTTGCGCGAAGGCAGCTATCTTGGAGACAGATGGCTGAGGCCAGCAAGTCATGAAGACACGCAGGAGGGAAAGCTGGTTCAGGCATGGCCCAGCTAGGGCTCTGACCCCATCTCGTCCTGACACCCAGTGGAGAGCACCAGTCTCACCTTTCTGTGGGCCTAGATCCCAGAGCCTGGTGACCCCCATCCCACCCTGGATCCTGGGGGAGGGTATTGCCTCACCTTGCTGTGGGTGTAGACCATGGAGCCCGGTGATCCCCATCCCACCATGACTCCTGGTGGAGAGCACCACCTCACCTTGCTGTGGGCCTAGACCCTGGAGCCTGGTGACTCCTATCCTGCCCTGGACCCTGGGGTAGGGTGCCTCCTCACCTTGCTGTGGGCGTAGACCACAGAGCCCAGCAGCTTCCAGGTGCCCCCCCTCCGGTCCATGCGGATCATCCGCAGAATCTGCAGGAAGCGCAGGCTCCGAAGTGCAGATGTGGCGAAGACATTGCCCTGCGAGCCAGCAGCCAGCACAGCGATGGAGGCGATGAGCACCATGATGTCTGCAGGAGATGTGTGAGTCACGGCAGCCCCGGGCCCTCAGCTTGGCCGCAGAATGGGGTGGGGACTGCCCCACATGCTGGGCTCCAGGACAGATGGACAGTGCTTGCACGGTGCCTGGCGTGGGCTAGGTGGTCTGGGCCCCAGAGAGGACAGTCCAACAGTCCACCCCTCCTGTGGGCCTCCCAGGCACCCAGGGCCCCACCCTTCCTCTTGACACTTAGACCACGTTAGCCACAGATTCCGATGCCATGTTGGCAGATGAGGAGAAACTTCCAGAAGGACCCAAACCTGCAGCCTCCCCAGCCAACACAGCTGCCTTAGCTCCTCCCAGGACCTTGTGGGTCTCTGCTGCCCCTCTAGCACCCCTGGCCCCTGGACCTCACCAATCACGCAGAATGGCTTCCGGGCAAACTTGAGCCGCCCCCTCCAGCCACGGTACCGGCAGCAGCAGCCTGCTGCCCAGATCCGCACAAAGTACTCCACACCAAACACCACGATGGTCACAATTTCCTGTAGGGAGGCGCCACTGAGGTCATGCCAGGCCCGGCCTGGACACCCACAGGGCAGCACAGGCCCACGATGGAGCCACAGCACCCAGACCCCAAAGGGGAGCTGAAGGGCAGCCTCCCACAGGGCCCCCACCTCACTCCAGTCCCCAAAAGGAAGGGTTAGGCCCTCTGGTTACCCTGCAGCCAGGAGCACCACAAAGTCTGAAAACCATAGGGGCCACTGGGATCCTGTCTGAGATGGGGGCCCTATCTGAGCTGGGGGACTCTGTCCGAGCTGGGAGGCCCTGTCTGAGCTGGGGGGCCCTGTCTGATCTGAGGGTCTCATCTGAGCTGGGGGACCCTGTCTGACCTGAGGGTCTCATCTGAGCTGGGGGGCCCTGTCTGAACTGAGGGGAGATGTCTGGGCTGGGGCCCTGTCTTGAGTTTGGGGGCCCTCTCTGAACTGGTCCTGTCTGAGCTGGAGGCCCTGTCTAAGCTGGGGGTCTTGTCTGAGCTGGGGGCCTGAGCTGGGGGTCTTGTCTGAGCTGGGGGCCTGAGCTGGGGGTCTTGTCTGAGCTGGGGGCCTGAGCTGGGGGCCTTGTCTGAGCTGGGGAACCCTATCTGACATGGGAATCTTGTCTGAACTGGGGGATCCTGTCTAAGCTGGGAGGCCCTGCCTGTGCTAGGGCCCTGTCTGACCTGGGGACCCTGTCTGAGCTGGGGGTTCCTATCTTATCTGAGGGTATTGTCTGAACTGGGGGGTCCTGTCGTCTGAGCTGGGAGTCCTGTCTGAGCTGAGGGAGGCTTTCTAAGCTGGGAGTCCTGCCTTGAGTGGGGGGCCCTGTCTGAGCTGGAGGGAGGGGCGCACAGCAGGGCTGTACTGGGGGCAGATCCCAGGTCATTATAGAGGCCCAACCTCCATCCAGAACTCGGGCAGCCCCAGGACAGAGGGGAGGGTAGGGAGGGGAGGGGAGGAGGTGCATTGTGGGGGGATCAGTCTCCTTGAGGTTCCCCCACCCACTTATCAACAGCAAGACAGGAATTACCCTTTCATTGCCAAGGTGCCTACCATACCCCCAACACGGGTTACCACCAGCATCACAGCTCCCACCCCAAGTGCCCACATCTGTTAGGTACACTCCATACCCCCACAGAAGAGGGGCTGCCTACACCCTCTGGCTCTAGAGAAAAAGGGGAGAAGGTGGAACTGTACCTAACCAGAACTGGGGGCTGCCAGAGGCTGTGATGTCACCAGGAGGAGAGGGCTGTCAGGGGCTGTGATGTCACTAGGAGGGGTTCTCAGAGGCTGTGATGTCACAGGGGGGAGGGCCTATCAGAGGCTGTGACATCACCAGGAGGAAGGGCTGTTAAAAGCTGTGATATTACAGGAAGGAGGGACTATCAGAGGCTATGATGTCACCAGGAGGAGGGGCTGTTAAAGGTTGTGATATCACAGGAAGGAGGGACAGAGGCTGTGATGTCACCAGGAGGAGGAGCTATCAGAGGCTGTGATGTCACCAGTAGGAGGGGCTGTCAGAGACAGTGGCATCACCAGGAGGGGGGTTGTCAGGGACTGTGATGTCACCAGGTGGAGGGGGCTGTCAGAGACTGTCAGAGGCTGTGAGGTGATGAAGCAGAGGTACTATTAGAGGCGGTGATGTCACCAGGAGGAGGGATTGTCAGAAACTGTGATGGCACCAGGAGGCGGGGGCTGCCAGAGGATTTGAGGTCACCTGGAGGGAGCGGTTTCAGGCGCAGTGACATCACCAGGAGAGGATGAGCAAGGACTGAGTTACTCACAGCTGACAGAACCCTAGGACTCGGCCAATGTCGAGGCTAGGAGGCTGCGAGGGCAGGGGGAGCAGGGCAGGTCCCCAGGAGGAGAGGGCGGTGGGTACGTGGCATAGCGGGAGGCTGGGGGAGGCCAGGCCCGGGCTGGAAGCCAGTCGGGTGGCAGAAGCTCTGTAGTCACAGGTCAGATCGACTGACTGCTGTGTGGGGTCTACAGAGTCCAAGGCGCTCACCAGGATGTAGAGGGCGCCCTCTGAGCTCTTCTCATACTCTTTGATGGTGGAAAATACAGACAGCACGAGGCAGGAGAAGACCAGCAGGAACCTGCAGGGCAGAGGGGGGCGGGGTCAGGCCAGGGAACAGGGCCCTGCCAGCTGGGGAGGGCTGAGGGGCACACCCACAGCTGCCCTTCTGCCTGCAGGACCCCCAGCCTCCACAGGGACACTGGGCAATGCCAGGGTCACCACATCACGTGCAGCTGCCCTGGGGCCCCACTCTCATCTGTCTCCAGCCAGATAGCCTGTGCTTTGGGAAAGTCTCCAAAATGTTCAGAGTCAGAGGAGAACAGCAATGCCTGGCCATTTGATTCTTGGTGCCAGCAGAAACAAGAAAACCAGCATAGACTGGTGCCTGCCATGGGGCACCTGCCTCACGTAGTGCCTGCCCCACACAGTGCCTGCCCTGCAGAAGGTGTCTCATAAATGTTTGTCCCTTTTCCTTGCACCTGACCACTTCCTCTCTAGACTCGGAAGCAGAAAACTGTTCTCTTCCAGTTAAATCTGGAGCTAAACCAGACCTCTTTGTATCTTCTTGCTGGCCTTGCCCCGGCTCCCAGGAAGCTCAAGGCCCTCCTTCCTCAGACGCTGCACGAGCCTCCTCTCGCCAGCTGATGTTATGCACACAACGCTTTTACACCCTCCCCTCTCTTTTTACCTGACTCTCACTGGTCCTTCCTCAACTCTTCCCTAGGTGTTCAAGTTCACAGCCACCACCATCCTCCCAAATGCCTTATGTCTTCCTCGGCTATGCAGCCCCCTGTGACACACCTGCTCCCTGGCCCCAGGCATGCCAGCTGGGCACCCAGCCACGGTGGGGGTCCCAAGGAGAGTCCCTGCAGGCCGGGTGAGGGTCCAGGCCACATGAGAAGCGTGAAGCACTACACGGGGTGAACAGAAGCTGGGTGGGCACCGGGGGTCATGCCTGGGTCTGAGAGCCAGTGCCTGTCCCCCCCACCCCTCCCCATCACCCTGAAGACCACAGCTCCATGGTGGGACGCTGGAGACCCTACAGGAGCTGATGCTTTGAGGTCCAGCCTGAGCCTGGCCACAGCTCTGGCTGACTTGGGGCCTGGGTCCTTCTCCGCAGCTGATGTCCAGCAAAAACCTCAGCACCAAGAACTCCAGGCCGGCTGGAGTCAAAGCCCAAGGGGCAGTGACAGTACCAGCAAGACATGGTTCTGCACCCTCCTCCCTGGGAACGGCCACCACATCCCCGACTGTCCCTGACAGTCCCCAGGCTCCCTCACTCCCAGTCAGAAGTGCAGGCAGTGCCCACTGGCAGACAAAACACACACAAAGAAACGGTCACATTTCAAAACCGCAATTAATTTCCTTTGCTTATTAGCCAATTTATTCAATTAACTGAGCCCTGGGGTAAAAATGCACAGACATCTCGTGCGCTTTCAACGCTAGCTCTGTCTGCCTCACAGGGCTTCCTCCCAAATCCATCAGTGGGGAAGGCAGAGGGGACAACTGGGAGATCCTAGGGTTCCCTAGGGTTCCGAATCAGGACCCCAAGGCTTGGGCAGCTGGAGGGATGCAGGAGGGACACTGAGACATCACCCCATGGCTGAGGCTCGCGGTGTGATATGGCGCCCAGGGAAGAAACAACCCTGGTGGCTTCCCAGGGAGGTGTCCACGGGGTGGGCCCTGCAGGGTAAAGAGAAGTTAGCTAGCCACAAGGGGAGAAGGGGAGAGTTTTCCTCGCAGTGGGAAGAGCTGGGAGAGGCCTAGAGACAGGAGGGGGAGGGCGTGTCCAGATCCAGCCAGGATGATTCTGACCAGACAGGAGAATGGGTGCGGGACAGGGCCAGCCCCACAGAACCGAATTTGAGTCCTCGGAACCCATCCAGGAACACCAACTCCTCGGGTGGCAAAGAACATTCTTCTAAATGAAAGAAGAGCTGGGCCCAGGTTCCAGGGTGAGCAGGACCCCAGCCCTGCTCTTGAGGGCAGCTCTGACCAGGAACCCCAGAACATTCCAGAAACTGCAGAGACAGGGCACACACGGATGCGGCCATGACATGCAGATCTGCAGCCCACCCCAGCCACCAGCGACCAGACAAACACAGTCAGAAATGCAGAGAGACGACGAGCCTGGCAGCCAGCCCTCAGAAGTTTCCGGTGTTTCTGCTCAGCCCCGCCCCAGCAGACCCTCTGGAGGAAACCCATGCCAGAACCCACCCCCCACAACCCCACCCAGGAAGTGCCGACGACTGCTCCAAGTTTTAAGTTTTCAGAACAGATGGTCCAGATGGTGGCGGGGGTGGCCAGTGCAGGGGAGGCAAGAGACGCGGAGGAAGGGAGGTGGAGGCGTGGGCTCAGGGCGTCACAGCCTGGCTCCTCCAGGAGTCGCAGACCCCTGGTACAGAGGGCAGTGGAGGGCTGTCCACCGGAAGACACCTCAGTGACCAGCACCTGCCCCTCACAGCACTGATCCCACAGTGGTGTCCCTGAGACTCCACATCCATGTCCATTCTAGAGAGAGGGAAACAAAGGCTCGTGAGGTAGGGATGGGGCATCACCCAGGCATGGACCTCTGGGAGGAGATATTCCCCACCCCTCTGGTCTCACAGTCCCAGGTGTGATGTGGACACCCCCTGGGGTCCAGTCCCCAGGGGCCTCCCCGGGTAGGGGAAAGACTGGCATGGGTGTCATCATCCTCAGACCCAGTCTGCGAGCACAGTCACCTCCAGGCTAAGCCAGGGGACCCTGTCTGCCACAGGCCCTGGTGGGAGTCACACCGGCTGGGCAGGAGCCACCAGCTTCCTTCCCGTGGCCTTCCCTGCCTCTAACCCAATCATGCTGTTCTGGCTTCTGACACTCCCCCACCCAGAGCTGTGGGGTCCAAGGAATACCCTCCCTCCCCTGCAGGAGAGGACAGAGGCTGAGGGGACTGGGTCCAGGGCATGGTGCCTGTGCACGCGGAGTACGAGGCCCAGAACCTCTCAGCTCGGCCTCCCCCTCCTAGGCAACAGTGAGCTGGGGACAGACATCCAGAATGCCAATCCAGGAGGGTGGCACCTGTGTCCTTCTGGGAGGGAGACCCCGGCCCGCAGTCTGGGCCTGAGTCCGCAGCCTGGCCACATCTCCAGATGCCAAACACCAAGGCCCCGGGAGTCCTGGGTGGGAGAAAGGGCTCCACACCCTCCAGCCAGGAGCCAACCAAGCCTATGGGGAAAGAAAGGACAGGCTGGAGGTGGTGTCGGATGGGAGGACGGAAGAGAGGATGGTGGTGTCTCAGCAGCCCAGGATTATAGCACAAAGGACTTCGAGGCTAATTATGATAATGGATTCGACTACAGGAGCTTTCCTGGCAGCCGTTGCCAAGGAGACTAAGCAGGCAGCCGCTGGTCCCAGCCCCAGATTCTGGGGCCAAACCTGGGGGGGGGGCAGGACCCCAACAGCTTGGGTACCCCATATCCCCGATGTACATCCAAGTCCTCAAGCCCACCAGAGAACCCTAAACCACAAGAAAGGCCACCAGAGAGGGCCAGTCACAACACCCCAGGACCCAAAGGCATAGGAACCTCAGTTGGACTCAAGGAGGAACTTCCCAGCTGCAGCCTGAGCTCTGAGCACTCTCAGAGTTCAGCACAAAGAAGGGGAGTCGTCAGGGAGGTGCTGAGTGGGCCCGGGAGGTCAGCCCTCAGCCGACACTGCAGGGCCTATGGTGCAAAGGGCACATGTGCATGTGTCCCTGTGCCTGCACGTCCCTCCCTCTGGGGTCCCCATCTCCAGGGAGACTCCTCTGCCTCCACACCCCCACCTCCCTCCCACTGACGGATGGGGTGTTGCTGTTCTGGGAACACGACACAGCCATGGCAGCCTCCTCTGGAGGCATCTCCACTCTGGGAGGCTTGGCTGCAGGCAGCCCTGAAGTGCAGACCCTGTGGGGACTGCAGACCCTCCCTTCTGCAGGTGTCTCCTGGGGCCTGACAGAGCTGGCTGTCCATTGGTTTGCTTGTATCTGATGAAATGACATCACTCGTGAGCAGGTGGGGATGCCTTCAGCACCTCACACCACCCCAGCTCCTGCCGGCTACTCCAGGCAGAGCCAGGGTCAGACGGCCCTGATGTGCTCCCCCGCTCTGGCCCCCCAGGACAAACTCCTCAGCACGTCTCCTAAGCGCCAGGCGGGAGCATCTCAAAGGTGGGAAGATGCCCCCATCCCATTTCACAGACTAGAAAACAGGCTCTGAAGGACCTCACACAGCCCACATGAGATTGACCAGCAGGCTGGCTGCAGAGGCCCTCCCATCCGGGCACTCCTCTTCAACTAGAGACCATCTCGGGGTCCCCACGGAGCCCCCTGCTGAACAACTGGGAGACTATGCCTCCCAGGCCAGAGCCAGGCAGGGCCAGGGGAGAGAGGAAGCCTGAGAGAGGCCCATGTAGGTGCCAGGCCAAGCCGCACCGGCCTCCCAAGGGACCTCCCGCCACACATCCAGAGGCTGCACCGCAGCTGGGAATCTAATTTCACCATAATTAACTCTGCTTTCAGGACTCGCCACCTCCAATCTCGAGTGAAGGAGCAGGCGCTGATGGCTGCCCTAGGCATAAGCCAGGCGTGACTAGCAGGACAGACATGGGCCACACAGGCCAAGGCTGATGGAGACCGCAGTCCTGGACCAACCTCACCCGCCGTGCCTATCAGCCTGCTGTGTCAAGACCCACCTTCGCCAGGGTGGATCCCTGCAGCACTCACCAGAGCCTATGCTGTGGGGAGGAACTGGAGGTGGCCCAGGTGTAAGACCTGGGTCCTTGTATACATTAGGATCCTGACAGGCTGCGGCTCAGGAAGTCCCAGGCCTCAGAAGGCCCCACTGCTGGCCCCGCCTCGTGGCCTGGGCCTTCCCACACCCCCACACCCCCACACTGCCCACTCCTATCCAGCCCCCTCCTCTCCACCCAGACAGGAAGCTGCTCTCAAGGATTCTTCCATGTCCCCACTGGCCAGCAACCCCAGGATACCAGTGGTCCGTTGCAGTCGGGCTCCCTCCAGGACAGGGGCCAGCAGAGGAGCTGGAGGCTGGGTTGGCCACT